TACCATGACTTCTGCCGACTATTTGGTCAACAGATAACACTTGACGGGTTTATTGGGGGATTACTGGACGTGAATATTTAATTAGATATGGTCAGACGTTCTCGGATGAGTTTGGTCGTTATTACAAAGCAAAGTGAGGGACAAAAAAGACTTTAAAACGACTCAAGCAGGAAAAACACATAGCCAGAATTTCACAGTAACTGCTAAATTGGTGATGTGTAACACACTTGTAAGTAAATGTGATGGAATCAATGTAGTAGGGAACAAAATATCGTTCAACCCGCCCCTATCCCTTAATATGAGCTATAAACACAAATCAAAGCAACGCATGTCAAATTCAATCGGCGATTGCCGTTTTGGCCGTGATATGCCGTTATTGGCACCTACCCTAGCATGATGTAGAAGACGTCAGCTTACTATTTAACTAAATTTCAGCGTTCGCAGGCAAAGATTTTACGGGAAAAAAAAATAGAATTTACCGGAGCTCAAATTTAACGTGTCGTTTATCCAAAGCAAGTGAACTGTCTATGAGGGCCCACATAGGAAGTAGGACAGATGAACAGAAATGAAAAACGTGATTGTGAATTTGGCCATTGGAACTCAAACTTCAATTCAAGCTTGTTGGAAAGTACATGGGCTGTGGCAGATATAGGGGGGGGGGGTCACTCACCTGTTCTACCCCTAGAGGTTATACTGTAGCTGCAATGACTTTGGAATCATCTCAAAGTCACTCTATGAATTTGTACAGTATTTTAAAGTTACCAATTTAACCCAATTATTCGAGCATTGTTCTTTAACACTATCTGTGTCACTAAACATAAATGGACAAATGCATAAAGGTAAAAATAACAATTAGGAACTTTTGCCACCAAAATATATTTGGGATAGTGATTCTAAAAAACAATTCTTATTTACATTAAAAATGGCAGAAAGCACAGATATCATATAAATAAGTTTATTTTGCTGAAATACAATAAGAAAGATTGAGAAAAAGCTGTTGATGACTTTTTGTCATTAATAATATCAATGACAGATAAAAGCTTGAAAAAGATTACTCCTAAATAAAAATAAATACTAAAATAAACAGGAAGAAAAACTGGTTTGACCAAGACTGGTGGGTTCTTCGTAAAGGTATCAAATACATGTCAAAACTATATAAAAAAAATTTTTGGAAAATACTGAGTAAAATAAATGGAGACATTTCATACAAAAGTAACAATCACCCAATTGACCCTTAGATTGGTTTACATATTTGAATAAATTATTAAACTAAAATGTTTTGAGTGACATAAACAAATGCGATACAAATCTGAATCTGGATGAAAAAAACAATATTTACAATAATGAGGAGTTGGACAAACCAATAACAAAAAGTGAATCATAAATGCAATAAAATTGATGAAAAATAATAAAGCATCAGCAGAAATCAAATGTGGAGTGAAATATTTAAAATTGGTCA